GTCATGCCCTCAACTGTATTTCAAAGTTCTTATAAAGTAGCAATGTTTAAAATTATGTAATCGGGTATTGAGGCATTTTTCGTTCGTGAGGCGAGGCGTAAGCCTCAAAATCAAAAAAATGTATAAATATAAAATGATAAATTTTGTATATACTAATGAGTAAATAATATATAAAATATAAAAATGCACAAGATATGAAGTGAAATCAAAATATCCCAATAATAAGACAACATGAAATATAGTTCAACTCAAACTCCATCTTTCCCAAATCACAGTATTCTTTTCATTAACATATAATTACAAAAATAAATAGCAATGACATATCACATAAGAACTCATAAGTTATCAGCATTGTCATCACTAAGGGGGTCTTCATTTGAATCATCAGTATGATGAACTGCACTCTCCCCTTCCTCCTCTCCTAGAGAGTCCAATGTCTCCCAATCAGGTCCTTCGTCAATATCAGTTATCTTCCTCTTCCCTAAATATTTTTGAATAATCTCAAAATAAATAAGTGTAATACATTAATAAAAGTCTAAGAAAACTTTATTTTTTATATACCTTTTTTTATTTGCTCTTGAGTTGTGATGGATGTGGATGCTTTAAGACCATCAAAAAAATCAACATTTAAATCTTCATCTTGTAATTCAGACGGCATCACTTCAACTTTATCATCTACAAATCACTCATCATCAGATGTCACATCCTCGCAGAGCAAAGGATCTTCATCATCCATTAATCCTTTTTTTTTCAAATTCCTATCCCTGAGTCTCCTATTATACATAATGTACACCAATGAATTCATTATTAATGTGGACAAGTGATTGCCCAGTCAGGTCAAGGGGCAGCGCCTCTGCGGGGGTTTCCGGGGGTAGCGCCCCCGGAATAAAATTTTATTGTAAGTAATTTTGAGCAGTACCGGCTCGGTACCGAGCATGTACCGGCTCGGTACCGAGCATGTACCTGCTCAGTACTGAGCGGTATCGAGTGGTACCGCGCATTTACCTAGTGGTACCAAACATTGTTGTACAGAGTGGTACCGAGCATATACCTAGTGGTCTCACTGTGGAAGGAAGAGAATGCCGAAGAAAACGGAAAAAGGTCACGGTAGAAGATAGCTCCAACCTAACTCACGGTAGAAGATAACTCCAAGTAATAAGCGAAGAGCGACTCAATGTGAAAGGACGTCGATGCTGAATGAAGAGGGAAAAAGGTCGCTCGAAGAAGGGAGAAAACCTATTTTTGGGAAATGACATAAGACCGCGCGGGGGTTGGGGGGGTCCGAACCGAACAAATATATATTCGGTTAGCTTTTTTAAAAAAATTTTAGAGGCGGACGCCTCTCAACCGTGAGGCGAGGCGCGCCTTGTAGCGCACCTCAGTAAACTTGAGGCGTACGCCTCAAATCTTGAACTCATTGCGTAGGATTTGAGGCTTAAATGGGCGAAATTGCGCTGAGGCGCGCCGCGCCTCTTATTGCACAATTTTAAACCATGTACAGTAGTCACGAATAATATCATTGGTATTTTGCTGAACAATATTCATTACATTAGGATCATGGAGGATATCATCAAACTCTTCATCTCCTTCATCACTTGAACCACTGCTCATTGTCTCATACCCTTCATCATTGATTAGGAGCATATAATCTAAAATATCATTGACTTGAAAAATAAAAGTAGGTTGGGATTGTGTAGGACCGGCCAAATTCTTCTGGTATGAGGTTAGTGTGGATCTGCATTTATACTTACATAATATTAGATAACCATGAATAAGATTTTACTTTAGAAAATTCAATCTTTCATTCACAACTAACATACCCTAGATGTGCACTTGGAATTGCCAAGGCCATCTTCGCAGCATCATGCATCTCATGTACATGATCTAGTACGACTGAATTGTGAATTTGAGTCGACAGATCTTCATCCAAATTAATATCACTAGGAATTTCCTCAACATCCACATACAGAATCAGAACTTCAGAAGCAGCCAATGATAATGCAAATTCACGACCTTCATTGTCCTCAAGCTTCGAGGCCATGAATTGGTTGCCCACTGGAAAACGACTCACAATGGTCACCACGAACTTTAAGGGATCGAACTTCAGGGCTCTGAGAACTCGATCCTTTAACTTCTTCAAAGTTAAGTTGAATGGAACTTGTAAGGGCCGACATTTACCACTAATATATGTTGGCCAAAAATTACCATCTAAGGATAACTCTCCGTCATATAACAACATAAAAGATGGTGGTCGTGAACTCATTTTCAATACCTACATTTACAATAAATTTGAAATGATATATTTATTTCATCAAACTCATAAGAATTTAATTAATAATATTTACTATGTCAATATTATCATTAACTCATGAAAATATAACTTTTATGAATAGAAATATTAATCTCTCCTTAAATTTTCACATAAATTTAACAAATCTACTATTTTTTCATTAAATATTTTGAATTATTTTTTATTCATTTATATTTACTACAAATATTAAAAATTACATGAAGATAATTAATTATAAATAAGGAATATTAATTATTACAAATAATGAATGATTTAATTATCAACATATGTTTCAACACAATTACTTAATAATTATATTAAAATAAAGGCTACTACATTCTGTGAGATCAATGCATATGCTGGACAACCCCCTCCCTAAACTTTGAGAAAACGACCCACAATTATATTTACTACCTCAATGATTCCCTAAAGCAAAATATAAATAACCATAATTATTTTACAAACAAATAACTGAGCATTAACAAGCTTAAAAAATGCATAAATATTTTGTGTTTCTCATGATTTACCCAAACATTTCTAAAAAATACATATAATACATTGATCACCTAAAACCACTTCGTTCTACAAATTTATACTGTGCATTTCATTTTTTTTTCTATACTCTATCTTCTATTCAAGAAAGGATTTTAAAAAGTGAAAATTTTTAAGCAAAAATGAAAAAAAATACACTAACCTGAAATGGCAATGTCCGGCGGTTTGCGAAACTCGGGCGAAATTCCAGAGAAGTAGAGAAAACGATTAGAGAATGGGGGGACCACCTAGGGCTTCGGCTGATTTTTTTATAACACCAAAATCGCCCGTTAGACGGGCAATTTATGTCTTTAAGTAAATCACCTAATTAACGGGCGATTTAGGCCATAATAGGCAATGGCCGTTCAAATGGGCGATTATGCCTAATTTTAAATTTTATAATTTGGATGCTTAAATGGCTAATTACATTTATAATCATGTTTAGCATGCTAAAAATTCCTTGCCTACTAATTAGTAATCAATCAAAATCTTAGATTGATTATTTAATTAGTTAATCCACCCACATACATTGCATGTAGATTTAGCCTACCCGCCCTCTTCCCTTACCCTATAACCCACTTAAATTACTTCCTAATCAAGGAATTCCTATTTGGGAATTAATCTCAGCTTTTCCCTCCAAGATCTTCTTCCAAACTTTAAGCCTAATTCAACCAAAACCTGAACCCAATCTTCCCAAAGCCTTCCCCTTGGCCGACCACCTTCCCTTATCTTCTCCCACTTGGATTCATAGGAGAAAGTTGTCCTGATCTTCATGTGTTTCTGTTTACGCATCTCTACTTGTTGTCCAGAAACTTTTGGATGCTAATAGTGGTTGTCCACCCTTCCAAACCCTAGAGAGTTGCTGTCCAAGACCACCTGTTTGCTGTTCAGAGACTCCAGCAGCAGTTCGTTGCTGTCCAGCCCTTTTGGGAGCGACCATGGCTGCCTGGAACTATCAGGGATCACTGTCTAGGGTTGGCTAATTGTTGTCCAAAGGTTCGAGCATGGATTTGTTGATGTCCGAGCCGTCAAAGACGCCACCAATGGTTGTCCAAGCTTGCAAGAAGGTTGAATCTTAGCAAAAGATGAACTCTTTCCTTCTCTCTTACCTTCTTCGTTGATCCTTGCTTGTGGTTTTATTTGATACATGCAAAATCTTGCCAAACCCCGCTAAAAGCTTAGTGTTTAGTAGGAAGTTTGTGACAGATCTTTCATAGCAATATTCTTATTGTTAGATTAGGGATTTCTTGGTGAAACCTATCTCGTATGCAACATCAAGAGTAATTGATTATTATGTGGTCTTTACTTTTTCGCGAGTAACTTGGCCTGAGCTTGTGTTTACCGCTCTTTGTGATTTATTTCATTGTTTGAATCACCATAAAAATTTAATTAATTTGCTCTTACTCATTAAGCGTGCAAAAATCCTTACCTAAATCAAATTTTCATATATGTTCTGCATCAGAGCTTCCTTTATATCAGGATTTAGGTATAAAAGATCGTGATTCTCAGAATGAAATTGGCAATCACAACCACACAAGTGTCCAAAGTTAGGGTCAAAGGAGTGGTGACATCGACGAAGTATTCCCTACCTAATAACTTAACTGTTTCCAGATTCAAATCCTTGACTACCAGGCCAAAATGACGCAATCTTAAGATTGCACCTTCAGATTGGATATAACAAGAAATACTCATCTGCTAATGCAGCTTCCATGAGAGTCTGGAATTGGAAGTACTAGAGTGGAGCGGTAGTAAACATGCTTCTAAGATTCCATTCCACAGAAGAAGACTGATATAAAGTTATATTTAAGAAAAGATAGAGCATATAAAGAAAAGAAAATTGTATTGCTAATGTACTTTGAATTGTTCGATGGAAATCAAAAGCAGCATTGAGCAGGAGGGGAGATTGATGGTCAGCTTGCATAACTCCCATACAACACAAAAGTAAGAACTATTTTATGGCACTAGCAAGAAATAAATTAGATGATAGTCCTTGATTTTGAATATGTAAGCTATCATTGTAATGCAAAGATGCACAATTTTCTAGCAATCACAAGTTACGCAGCGTATTTATTATTAAATTTACCATACCTCAGAAGCTATCGAACAATTCAAGCTCAAATAAGCTCACATTGTAGGAGCCTTAAAGAGAATGACAAAGTACCAAAAGAAAAAGTCTTACCGTCATGCGAGCTTTAAATGATTTAGCCTTTGCTTCAACTGCCTCTACTCCTTTCACACCTCCAGAAACTGCATAATTACCCTGCAATAAAGAAATAATTTAGCGTTTGAGCAATATATAATTAATTTGATCAGAATCAAAGACAAAAATAGAAATCATCTTACTGGACATAGATAATTTGCAATCTGAACTTTGTTTTTCTCATCTACTTCCTCATTGGCAGCATCGCAAAGCAATTGCACCTTGTCTGAATCTAATCCAATGATACTAACCATAGCACTTTTAGCAGCATCTGACGCATCCTGAAGAAAGTTAAAAAGAAAATCATTACAATGCATTCGTTGCGTGATAAGATTACAAATATATATGTAATAGTTATAGATAGATATAAATATAAATTTGGATGCAGATATAGATTTCTTGATTAATATGTATATAGCTATATATAGAGAAAGATGATATCGGCTCAAACATAATTTTCATCTGCTAACCTGCATTGCTTCTCCTCTTAGCTTGACAAGCTTCAGCCCATCTTCGAAGCTTGTAATTTCAATTATAGCAATCAGTATGAAATTTCATTAAATGCATAACTGAAAATCAATGAAATAATGAATAACTATCCTAATAATTCAAACGTATAAAACTAGGATTTCTACATAATATATTTACCTTTTTCTGAACAAGCCATACCAAAGAAAATGTGTTCCCAGGAACAAGGTAATCAAAAAGGTGCTGAAAAAATAGCAGTTTAATGAAGGTAGAATACCTGAAAGCTCCAGCAAATGCAAGAGCTGTGTACTCTCCCAAGCTTAGGCCACACGTGACATCTACGGAATCAATGATGTCAGGGCCTCCATCACGTGCACGCAGAACCTCCACCGCAGCAAGGCTTGTCACATAGATTGCAGGCTGTGGAATACCAATATTAAAAAGAACTCTTTTGAGCAATTCTAAAAGGAATAGAACGCTTAAAGCATGGATAGTGCGGCAACATTCAACCATTTTATCTACTATGACTACATGACAGAACTTTTGTAGTTTTGTTAGACGGAAATATTGGAATATGCTAGATTAAAATGGTATCCAGTCGTGATATGAAATGACTAAAAGAAACTATAATTGAAATTGCAAAAAGCATAAAGCATTTGCTGCACAACTTTCATTACATGAAGGATTATAAGCAATACTTGGCTCTCGAACTGCAAGGAATACTTGCTCTTAAGCCTTCAGATGTTCAGGTGGGAAGGGGGAGAAGGATGTGGGGCTTGTTAAATGGACCGCAATGTAGGTAATCTAACAGGACATTCCCCTAAACCTGTGTGACCTTTCTGTGCATATTCCATCATTCAAACAGCCAAATAACACAAATACATAGCTTCAAACAACTAAAAGAGCGTGGGCTCCAAAATTTGTGCCCCAGCCTCTCCACGCCTTTTTACTCGATCTCCGGATTACAACGATGCAGTCCGTTTGTCCACATAAGAGTGTAATTGGGTGACCGTGCACACACACAGGAAGAATGAGAAAATTTTAAAGTTCAATTTTTTTTACTAATCGTACTATATGATCAATTATACAAAGATTAGGTTTAACGACTAATTGAACAATTAATTTATGTGAACTAATCGTACTGTACGATTAAGATCGTACTGTAAGATTCGTTATGATCTAAAAATCCTAGCCGCCGGATAAATTAAGTAAGATATTCGAATTTTGAATTTTGAACTAATCGTACTGTACGATGTGATTTGTACTTTACGAAAATTTGAAATCTTACTTAAATTAACCCTCGTAATTAGTCAAACAAATCATGGTTTAATTAATGATTACCGATCGTGCTGTACGATGGCGATCGTACTATGTGATTGACAGAGACAAAGTTTGATCATCCAACCGAAATCATGATTTTTGAATAAATCATACTGTACGATGTTCACATCGTACAGTATGATGAGAGCAGTACGGGATGATTAACAGAGATGATTTCCAATCATCCCAAGAATCATCCTATACGAATAGAGAGAAAGTAAACAGATCATATTGGACGATCTTAGGATCGTACTGTACGATGTGTTCAAACAGTTGAACAGCTCGTCTGAAATGAATATTCACATTGTATTAGACGGGACTAGTTTTTTAACAGATCATACAGTACGACCTTATATCGTACTGTATGAACATAAGACGGCTCACTTGAATTTTAGGGTTTTTGAAGCTCATTACTTGAGTAACTTTTATAACTTCATTTACAAAAAAAAGAAGAGAGAGGTGCCTTGAGCTGAAGAAGGAACTTTGAGAGAGGTGCTTTTGAGAGAAAATCAGGGTTTGAGAGGAAGGAGAAGGTGAGGTTGAGCGTGGGCAGGAGTGTGAGGAGATCACACGGTTGCTCCGGGCTAACAACACCCTTGCTACTCCTATGGCTTAGGTGAGTCCATAAAGGCTCTCTTGGGAGAGAGGATTCAAAGTCAAGTCCTCGAGATACTCCACCTTCTCCATGAGGGAGAAAAAGATTGGAGGTACGCTGCCTTCTTTAGAAGGGAGAAAAAGCTTTGGGTTCTCTGCCTTCTCCAGGAGGGAGAAAAATGATTCAAGGTCCCTGCCATCACCAGGAATGTAACATAGCTTACGGCACTCCGCCGCATCAGGTTTTTTGAAAGTGAGTTTATAAGGGCTTCTCCGTCTTGTTATGGGAGCAAAAAGAGAGTTACTTAGTGTTAGTGCAATACCCGAAACGGAGGACTCTAGGGAGTGGACGTAGGTCAAGGCTGACCGAACCACTATAATAATTTTTTATATGTTTTTTTTTCATTTTTCATATTTTTATTTTCCTGCAATTTTCATTCTTTTTATAAGTGCTTATGCTCCTAAAGGATTCATGTCTAACACTAAAAAGACTTGGTTAGAAAATATTAGGAATGACCTTTCTTTATTAGATTTAAACGAGAATTTGACTTTTAATAGGACACAATGGAGAAAAAGGATTCATGCAGCCGACCCCACGTAGTGGGATAAAGGCTTGATGTTGTTGTTGTTGCAAGTCGAGTTTATTGGTTTCAATCTTATTAATCAACTACACTGAGTTTAAATCTTTTTGCTACAAAACTATTTGCATGTGTTAAAATTTTTAAAAAAAAAAATTTATCATATAAATTGCTTCTGCATGTTATTTTGAGTAATTTATCTGAATTAAATTTTTAATTTGTTTTGTGGCTAAAACAAAAAACAATAAGTAGTATTCCTGCTTAGGGGTTTTTAAAATTACTAATTCATCTCCCTCTTAGTGTGCCTCAGGCTAGTTTTTTGAGGTTTAACAACCTTCTCGAACTTTCAATGATTAGAACTCTAAATCTATATAATCAACGATTCTTATCAAATATTGATTGACTGATAGATCCCATGATCATTTGACAGGTTTCATTTCAAATACCACTACAAAACTAATGGATACATGGGGCATATGAAAAAAATATGTCTAGATGATTGATAAGTAAATATAAAACTTTCAATGCTTCACCTGGCTTATTACTGTCGAATCAAGCTTTTCCTTTGGCCCATTGGTGCAGGCATCCAAAAGATCAAAACTAACCCCAACAAAACATGGGATTATAGTGGTATTCACCAAGAGAAAGGCTTAATTAGACAAGAAATTAGAAATCACGCAGAGGAATACAAGTTTCACATACCCAAGTATGTCATTTGCTTTACGAAATAATTCAGCTGCAGCTGGCACACCCTGAGCTTCAGCCCCCATTCCTAAGGTTTGTGCACCCTTAAATAGAAGAAGTGACAGTTAGAATATGCAACACTTCAAGTTGATACCCAAAAGTACTACATAAATATCTGCAAAGCAAGGTCGAATAACTAGCAATAGAGCTTCAGATTAACTGTTGATGCTAAACATGATGGCATTCTATTATGTTCTAAAAAGTACTTATTGACAGGCAGTGGTTAAAGCTTGAATAATTAGGTAAGCCCGTAAGATTATATGAAGTCAATGTTATACTGAAAACTAAAAAATATACAATCTAAGCAGAAATGCTTGAATCATGTCGCACAGCATGAAATGTTAACCAATGGTACTAGTTTACAAGTTATAGAGGTTTATAATTCATGCAGCAAGTGGATAATATAAATTCATTGGTCTACTAATATTTATTACTCGGATAATACTAATTTCCTAATAGGTTCAACTATCATTAATGCTTTGATGGACAATTGACTTCATCAAGTTTGATTGCTATTTCAAAATCTTAACTCTATTAATGAAATCATAAACGATTGCATTCCCAAAAATATGAACTACTTCTATATGAAAATTGGCTTTGTCCGGAATTTTTTTTTTAATGCTTTGTAAGGATATTGATACACTCAACAGAGGATTAATACTGGATGGATACATATAAATTGAGAAGACTTTATTCCACTTGAATCTGAAGTTGTAATAAAGAAACAATTAAAAATAACGAATCATCTGTTTTTTTTTTTTTTTAAACCAATATGATAAATAAGGTTGCCGTCACTCATCTCTTATGTTCACTTTACTACCTTATGATCAAAATCATCTGACGACTTTAGCTTACTATGATATAAAATGTATAAACTTCTAATATGCAGATGATAAATGAGCTGCTTTCTACAAACTTCTGTTAAAGCCAGAGTTAAATTTTATAGTTTGAGGTACACGGATCTGAAAATACATTATCTCAAAAAATCTTCATTTTATTATTATATAAGCTACAATTTCGCAGACTTAAAAAAGTGCTGATAACCTAAACTATAGCATGGGATATTTTTCTTTTCGGTATCTAGCTTCCTGGTTTTTGTTTATAAGAGTAATGGATACAACTGATTACCTCTAACAGATACAACAACATCAAGCATTTATCCCACTATATAAGGTTAGCTACATGAATCTTTTTTTCTCCATTGTGTCCTGTTAAAAGTTAGTTTCTCATTTAAATCTAATAAATAAATGTTATTTTTAATATTTTCTAACCAAGTATTTTTAGGCTTACCTCTACCTTTCTTAACATAAGTCAAATCTGATGCATACTTTCCTAACAGGTTCATCGGAAGGCCGCCATTTTATGCAACCAAACCATCTAAGGCGACTCTCTCTAATTTCATCTTCCACTGGAGCTACTCTAACTTTTTCATGTATATGCTCATTTCATATCATGTCTCTCAGAGTAAAGCCACTCATCCACCTGAGCATCCTCATCTCTGCAACAGTTAACTTAATACTATGCTTCTCTTTTAATGACCAACATTTTGCACCATAAAGCATTACAAGTCTAACCACCATCTTATAGAATTTTCCCTTAAGTTTGCGGGAGACTTTTCTATCACACAATAAGCCTGATGCATTCCTCCACTTCAACCATCAATCTTGAATTCTACTAATAATACCTCTTACTGATAAAATAACGAAAAGTTTAAATGACATTAAGATAGATTTCTCTATTTTCTAGAGAGAACACCTAATATAGAGCTCCAAGTCTAAAAGATTAGGAAAAAACACAAAGCAGTTGATTTGCATGATCATTATTTTATGTTTAGAATGATTTGTTGTGAGGATTGATATAAATCATGTTTTAGGAAACTATCTATTTAACAAGATTTCCAAAAGGCTGAAATATGATTCAGGGAATTTAGACAAAGCTATCTTATCTTTTTTTGGATGAAAAGGAGATATCCCCAGCCAATTTAATCAGTGTAGATCCTGCAACCATGCAAACATAGAACAAAGCAGAAGCAACGGAAAATAAACCATTAAAGGAAGAATCTAGTTCTAGTTGGGAAGCAGCTTCATCTTGATCAAGGTGGTAGGATGACAATCTAAGAGATGAGATGTTTTACAGTATTTCCTTCATCATTCCGCCTGGGAATATTTTATGATGAACGTGCAAGGAAAGGAGTAGAGGCAATAGAAACATAATAGAATGCAGGAATAGCACCTCCTGGAACTATTTAAACAAAAAACACTTTCGTTGATGATGAGCAAAGTTTAGCTAAATCACGTCTACTCTTAGGGCATCATGAACATAAGTTGGTAATTTCTCAGCACATTGAGTGGATGATAAGAAAAATTTTAGCTAAATCACGGCTACACTAAGGGCACTATGATGGCAATAGGTATATAAGATAGGACTTTGCAGCAAATTGTAAGAATGATGGGCAAAAATTAGCTAAGCCTAAACTTAAGCCATTATGATATTGTCCTCTTTTCCATCTCTTATCTAGAAAAAACTTGCGGATGGCTGAATAATGTAAAATTCTTCTAAATTCAGGACAACAGTGTTCATTTTTGAACGAAGTGATAGTTCAAAGATGCAAATGGCACTGCAGATTACTCATGCATAACTTAAAAGTCATTTTCAAGCAGTTCTTCAATAAGCACAAATTTTCTAGTTCTATTGATCTCCACTCCTATGAAAATCCTGGTGCGACAACAAACTTGCCACTGAAAAGGAGATACTTATTCGATAATAACCCGTAAGAAGTTCGTAAAGCATTGCCCCACCAAGCGCCCGCGCCACCCCCCAAAGAAAAACTGAAAAACTCGCCATTGTAGCTCAGCAAACTCAGGTTCAGCAAAATGCAGCGGTAAGAAGAAAACCACCAATAAACATCATATGAAGTCATCAATTTTTCACAAGACAAAAAAGGAAATGACAGAAAAAACAGAGCTCGAATTACCTGTCCGGGAAACAAAAACGCGTAGCTGGGCTTGTAATCTATGAACAGAGATTCGTCCGAAGTGTGCTGCCGAGATCCGACCGAGACGCTCATGGAAATCTTAGATCTCCAAAGGCTTTTCGGCTGCGAAAACCCGATAGCTACATGACGGGAAGTCTTCCGAAGATGAGACAAAGGAACAAGGGTGCAAATGGATAAAGACATCCCGACGATATCTCGATGGCCGGTGGCGAGACTGATCGCAGTTCGAGGAAGGAAAAACCTGCGATGAAAGTGTAAGCCAGAGATCAAGCAAAAGAACGATGACCTCAGCGGCGGAGAGCACGAAGAAGGTATAAAAAATAGGTGATATAGAGATCCAACGGTATAGTCAAGGGTAGGGGTGTAAGAAGAGTTGAGTTTATTGGGTTATGAGCTCGAGTTTATTTATTAAAAAAGTTTGAGTTCAAATTTGATGAGGCTCACCTTTTGAATTGGCTCGTCATTAATTAATTATTAAATAAAATATTTGTATATTAACGTAATATATAGCTGAGCAGAAAGAATGAATGCAGGCTCGTGTGTGGCGCAGGAACGACGTTGGGCGCAAATTTTGAATGCGTGGGCTCGAAACGAGGCGTGGGCTCGCATGCCGAATGGGAATGATGGAAGAAGGAACGCGAGCTTGCATGTAGAATGGGAACAATGTTGAATGTGAAGCAAGACATGGGCTCACTTGCCGAACGTGAATAATGGTGTCCTCGTGTGCGAAAAGCAAATAAATAGCAGAACCGAGCAACTCGACGAGCCATTTGAAGTGCAAAGAGTCGAGCTCGTGCTCTCCTTTTGAGCTCGAATCTAGTTTGAGCTAGAGTTCAAGCTTAGGATTTTGCTCTCTAGTTGAGCTTGAGTTTGGCCTAACTCGAGCTCGTCTCGACTTGTTAACACCCTTGCTTAGGGGTGTCAAAAAGGATTTTTGGTCGGATTGAGTCCAATACGAAACTAACTGGCCTTTCATTGACCCTATCAAAATCTGACTCCGTTAAACAAACTGGTCAAAAATTTAAATCGGACCTGACCCTCCCATTGACACAACCAAACTTGATAACCCAAAATGTAGCTAGGCACAAGCGCGTGTGGGCGAAGGGGGAGAGAGCAGGGCCAGCAACTGTCATAAATTGACCCGATATCATGCAGGTCATATCGTATCTGATTGTGGCAAGACTAACCCCAATATCCTGCAGGAGAAATACTGAAATAAAAGTTTCAATTTATATACTACACATAGCCACTATTGAATGCAATATAAAGCGGAAGACTACTAAATCTCATCATGATTTTATATATATCATCCAAAATATATATAATCTGAAATCTATTTACAACAATGCTTGGCAAGAGAGAGCACAACAAAAAAATAAAAGCAAAACCTAAAAAATCAAAATTAGAAAAACATACCTATAACACAGATCAAAGCGTGCTATTCAAACTACATAGCTCACTCTTTATCTTTCCCAGGGCCTGAAAATAATAGCAAAAGCATGAATGAGCTAACACATCTCAATATGATATCGTAGCGTAAAACAGAAATCAAGAACCAAAATCAAAAGAATTGAGAACACTATGTTGAATCATATATTTAAATTAAATACAATTAAATAAATATTGAAATGAATTGAATTATAAGCAAACACTTCATAACAGAATCCCAGCTTGGTATCCCATTTGCTATGGCATAATAACACTTAGGTAAAAGAATCTCACCAGCATAACAGAATCCCACCTCAATCAACCACTAGCGCTGGCATAACAAAATCCTACCTCGGTTGCCCACTGTGACCGGCATAACATAATCTCACATTGACCGCACAATAGCACCAGTATAACAGAATCCCACCTTGGCCGCCCACTAGTGCCGCCGTAACAAAATCCCACCTCGGCCGCCCACTGGTACCAGCGTCACATAATAACACTTTACAATATATTTTTCAATGCATTTCATTAATCAAAGCATAATTAGACTGAATTCAAAAATTGTCAAAATGTCTCAACAGTAAAAAACAGAATACTATTAAGCAAAATTCATAATTTTCAAAAATAACCAAGTTACCACAAATTTTGTAAAATATTATTCTGAAGCTTTAATTGAACTGAAGCACTATTTTTAGATGTTAAAAAATTAATGAGCAGGATAAAATCACTATTTTTTTGAAATCACCAAAAAAATTTCCATAATATACTCAAAATATTCGTAATCACAGTGTCTATAACATATAAAAAGTTACGCAGTGAAAGTTTTACAAAAACAAAGTTATTCTCATTTTTTTGTTACGGAAATACAAATTTGATCGAAAAAATACCAAAAATAAAAAATTATTAAAATCTGATGCAAAGTCACTTTCTTCTTCAAGCAATTAATCTAAGCCCCATATCGACTCATCTAGTCCATACCCAAAATGACATTAAATGCTCAAATAGGTAGCAAAATAAAACCATATCTCCAAACTCTATCAAAAAACTCCAAATCACAAAAACAAACCCTAGTAGCTACCATTCCATCTCCTATAGGCAAAACGGCAGACAAAGAAATAAGTAATAATATGGAAGGCAGATCGAGAGAATCAAAATACTGCTCGGACATGAAAGAATGGCTAGCACTATAATCAAATAAAAAATGTCAAGTAGATGCAAAAATATAAGTCATACCTTTTACAACATATGGGGACTCAATGGCCTCTTGCTGCTTCAGACTGTAAACTTATGGATGCATTGGGGTCAAAGAAATAGAACTACTAGCACCTCACAAACCTCTAGAAGGCGTACCTCATGATACTGGACCAACATCCCGGCTAGGTGGTACTACCCTCGGTCTACCTATTGTCGACTATGTAGAGCCTCTGAAATCAGAATGTTTATTAAAACAACCTTGTAGACACTCAGCAATCCTATGTCCAAATTGGCCATAGTGAAAACACCTTGATGCTCTATAACACTTACCACTGTGTCTTTTATCACACTGCTTACATAATGGGGCCTCACTCACTGAACCCCCAGAACTAACAACACTGACTCTATCTGATATAGAAGAAATTACTACTAGTTATCCCCTCCTTTTGAACTCAACGGGTCCAAACCTATTCTTCTTCCCATAATGGCTGCTGTTGGTTGTCTCACCACTAAATCTCTACTTACTTGCAACCCATCACTATTGTACTGCTACCAGATCATCCTCTATCCTCCTGTCCCTCTTGAATAACTGAGCAAAGCCTGTAATATCTCCTATCCCAACAGTGGTTGCCTCAAGCATCTCAGAGTCCCTCCAAAAATCAGTAACACTTTTCCCCAAAAGTGCCAACTAACTATAGAGAAAACCTGGAGAGAGTAGTATACTTTTCCTCGTATTGCTTCACTAACATGCTTCCCGAATAAACTTTTGAAAAGAGCTTTGTAACTATCTCCTAGTATATGAAGATACAAATCATGTCCTGAATGTCTCAACAAACTCATCCCAAGTAATTTGAGTATTTGAAAAACCCTAAAACTTCTCCCTCTATTGGCCTAACCATTAGTGCTCAGCCTTTCCATCAAATAAAAATTTAGCTAATGCAACTCTTCTCTCAAAAGGATAATGCATCCCATCCAGAGTCTTCTCTATCCTTATTAGCCAATCCTTAGCTACTCTAGGCTCAGTAACATCGAAAAGTTTAGGAGGATATAATCTCGTTAAATTTTGCAAATATCTATCCATGTACTCAGATCGGATACCAATAACCCGTGTGTGAGCCTCACCAACTAGTTGTGCTACTATACCTACAATCTTAGAAATTGCTTCATAATTGATCACATGATTTATAGCCTAGATATGAGCTGCCTGACTAGAACTTTAACTATTGGCCATATCTAGATCTGGCTGAGGTGGATCAGGCATCTCAAAACATATAGTTGAATGCAGTACATAAATATGAAAAAAAAAATGAGCACCAAAAACTATCCAGAATCATCTCACATGCTTCTAAAGATTAAATCTTATGGCTTTATTACAATTCACTTCTCGAACCTATACTCTAATACCAAAAAGCTCGTCACAACTCAACACCATATGATCCGATATCGCACAGGTCATACCATATTTGATTGTGCCAAGATTAACCCTAAGATCTGGTTAGAGAAATACTGAAATAAAACTTCTAATTTATATACTACGCAGAGTCACTATTGAATGCAATATAAAACAAAAGACTAATTAATCTCAACATAATTTTTTATATATCATTTAAAATCTATTTACAATAATGCTCCGTAACAGAGAACACAATAAAAAAATAAAAACTAAGACTATAAAATTAAAAATAACAAAACATACCTATAATATAGATCAGAGCATGCTATCTAAACTATACAACTCACTCCTTACCCTTCTTAGGGCCTAAAAAGTAAAAGTAAAAGCATGAATGAGCTAACACGACTCAGTAGGTTATCTTAGCTTAAAATATAAATCAATAACCAAAACCAAAAGAACTGAGAACAACATGTTGAATCATATACTAAAATTAAATATAATTAAATAAATACTAAAATGAACTGAATTATAAGCAAACACTTCATAATAGAATTCCACCTCGGTAACCCATTCACTCCAGTATAATAACACTTAGGTAACATAATCCCACCTCGATTGCCCACTAGCGCAGACATAATAGAATCCCACCTCAGTCACACACTGCGCATGCGTAACATAATCCCATCTGGCTGCCCTGGTGCTTGCATAATAGTCACCTTGATCGCTCACTGGTGTTAGCATAACATAATCCCATCTTGGCCACTCATTTGCACCTATTGCAACTTAGTTTTCATAATTATACTTTCATATTATGTGTGTTTTTGATGATTCTAAATATTATTATTTTGATTATTATTTTCTCCTATAACATATATTGGAAATATTGCTTTTATTGTTTGTGTGTAATAATATTTCAGGGAAATCATACTTCAAACTGTTAAAGACTTCAAGTTAAATTAGATTAGGGTTTATTATAAATGGAGTATGTATTTTTGCACTTTTATTGAGTCTGAGAGAGTGTGATTATAATTGGATAAAATGCACATACACATTGGGGGAGTGTTAAAGCTTATAAAATTTTAAATTAATCGTACTGTACGATTTTAGATCGTACAAGATGATTTGTTCAATTATTTTCTCAAGAAAGCAGTCAAACGAAACATGTGAGGAAAATTTTTTTAAGTCTTGTTCATATTGTATGAAGTCATCTTCTTATATATGATATCCAAAGTACAAAATTGATGCGAACAATTTTGTCCAAACGAACAGGTACATTTTTTGAACTGTTCATCCGGGATGATCTTGAGTTCGTATAGATGACGTCCAGAGTACAAAATTGCTTTAAA